TTTCATCTTTGTTTGTCTGAAAATAAATTATTTTAGGATCTCTTTAAAACAAAGAAAAGCATATAAATTCTAGAGGATTTTATCCTATGGGAAATAATCCTATGAAATCTTTTGAAACAAGTGATTGTTTCATACCCATTCCTTTGAAATTACTATGGAATGGATCATTCTAGAACAAGTTTGAAGGAAAATAAGCATGAGGTCTCACCTCATGTTTTCCTCTTCGTATGTCTAAAATTACTATGTGTTTTCCTATGTGCTCTTCAAATAATATTTTAAAAGTTTCATGTGTTTCAAAATCCTGTTGGAATCCAATGAGTATGACATCCTATTCATATGTTTTTCTTTTCCTATCTTTTCTCAATCCTGCGTCTCGAATGGCCCTTAGCAATCACTTCATCAGAGTTTGTGAAAGTAAAGGAATAAATATATTGAGAATAGATAAAGAGAGGAATAAGTACATTGAGATTTGATAAAGTTGGGGTATTCCAGTCCTCTTGGTTTTATATTGGCATGTATGGTATGGGTGAAAAATAAACTTATTTTGGGATGAAGGGCATAGTAAATAGAATAATTACAACCAACTAGCTAAGATGATATGTTGTTAGTCGTTACCAAGCTGCCTGGGTTTAGGGAAGCTCACTCAATCGACTGCTGACGATGACGTGTATTGGAGGACGATGAGGAGGATGAACTATGCTAGATCCTGGTAGGAGAAGAATGGGTAACAGTGGATCCGATGATGGCTGATCTGGCCGAGGGATAGGCCAAATCGCCTATGATGGTATGGTGATGACCGCCAACTGTTGCGCTCGAAGTACTTTGTCGCAATCCCAAGGGCCACAACAGTGTAGTGGTGACTCCTGGCTGCTATGTCTTGGGTGCTTCGTCATCACCGACTAAGGGCACTTAGTCATGATTCATGACGCAGAGGCCCACGATAGCTCCACCATGATGGTATCCATTTTAGGAAGATTAGAGCGAAGAAGATAAAGAAAACATCGATATATTTCGTGGTTTTTCTGTCTTCAATTGGGTGGATGTTGTATTATAATGTACCTGTGTTCTGTGGTAAATTACCACATTTTTTAAGTGTCCTTAGGAAAATTCATATTCTTATATTGTCTGGAAGTAAAGACTGCACTTTTTTAGTGTCCCGTAGTAAGTCTTATTGAAAAAAGTACTAATGATTGGATATACTTTAACCGACGATATTTTGGTCCTTTTTTACTAGTACTAAATTTACTTTGGGCTTCTACAGGTTGATATTTTCTGAACGAAACGAGTAGTTTTTCTCTTTGTATTTTGATGTTCATGATTGTAAGATGTGGAGTCTAAAATACTGGAGTAATATGTGTAACTTTTAGCTATGTGTGGATAGAGGCAAGATTCATATTCATTATTAAATAAATTTACAGCAAGACTTATACACCCATAGTTCTGTAGTTCAGCGAGCTCTGCCCCTGCGTCGCTCCAAGGGGATGGCTCGAGCAACAACCAAGACGCCGCGCCGCCACCACACGTTAACCCTTTCCCTACCTCACTGCCGCCTGAGTAGCTCGCCAGAGAAAGCACTACTAGAAAAACGATTTTTCATGGCGTCACCCTATAATTTTCGCTGGCGGCCATACGCGAAAACCACCAGCAAAAATGTAACGAGGGATGGGGGGCTGCGGACTGCCTGCAAAAATCTATTTTCGCTGGCAGCCACGCTAAGAGATCCGCCATAAAAAAAAACTCTATTTTTCGAGACGGACCTCTTAAGCGTCCTCTTGGAAAAATCGTGTTTTTGCTGGCGGCTACTAAACTCCTCTGCCAGAAAAAAAAAGTTTTTCAAGCGTTTTTTTACCCTTGCCATATGATTTTAAAACCACTTCATGTCTTCTCTCCACCCACCGCTTCATCTGTCCTCTCCACCCACCTCTCCGTCTCCTCCCCTTCACTCCCCACTAGCAGTGGCGGCGAGCCCTGCAGCAGTAGCTCTGGTGGCGGCGGGGGGAGCGGGAAGACGACCGGTGGCGGGATCGTGACGGCGCGTGGTGGCGGCGCCCGAGGCGGTGGCGCCCGAGCAGCTCGCGGTGGATCTGGCGACAGGACCACATCTGGAGCGGAGGAGCATGCGGATCGAGGTGGCCCGCCTCCCTAGGTCTCTCTCCCCCACTCCTCCCTCCCCTTCCCCGCCGCCACCACTCTCTCTCCCTCTCTCAGATTTGGCGCACGGGCCATGATGGAGGCTGCGGCACGGCACTGTAGTGGCTGTGGCAAGGCGGAGGTGGTGGCATCCTCCCCGTCATCGTCCTCTTCACGGCTCGACGTGGCTGCCATCCTTGAGGCAAGTGGATTTTTTGTAGAGAATAGTGGATGGATTTTTTTGGTATTTTATTGTGATTTGTGAATGGATGTGTTACTTTGTGGTGAATTTGTGATTTGTGAATGAATCTGTTGAATGTATTATGAGATTTGGGGTGAATTTGTGATGTGTGAATGGATTAGGGTGGTTGATGCCATACTGCAGCCGCGCGCTAATGATTTAAATTTTTGTTAAGTTGATTTTTGTGATGCTCATGCTTGGGTGGATGGACCGTTGACGGAGGCGGAGGCGGAGGCGGACGGAGCGTTCGCTCCGTCCGTCGTTTTTTTTTAAACTTGGTTAGTATTTTCTCTGGCGGCTGGTATAGTGTAACCGCCAGCGAAAAAACATTTTCGCTGCCGGCCATCTTAAACCAGCCGCCAGTGAAAATGGATCTTTGCTGGCGGCTGGCTTAAGACAACCACCAACGAAAATGTTTTTTCGCTAGCGGTCGATAACCGCTAGTGAAGATCTTGATTTTCACTGGCCTTTGCTTTGTGGCGGCTCCAAATTCCGCCAGTGAAAACCCAAAATGGCCGCCACGAAAGATGGTTTTTGTAGTAGTGGAGGTGTGGTTATAAGGATGGTGTCGGTGGGGTCTTCTTCCTCCTCTTTGAAGTCCATGGAGGTTGCGGTGACGATGACATGCAAGCAGCGATGGTGGCCGTAGAGGCGGAGCTAGCATGGATACTGTACCTCAACAGCAACCGCTGCGGCTAGGTTGGGTGGAGGTGCAGTGATGGCGGCTTCTATTGCTCCGGCGGTTTCAGGGACGACTAGATGTGGCATTGGCTAGATCCAACATGATCCTCCTGCCTAGATCTGCTGTCACTCTGACGAGGGATTAGATTGGGGGGTCGCGGTGGCTTGTTGAACCCTTGGGCAGCGGACTATGGCAGTGACAATGTGGCAATCATCGTTGTTGGTGGCAAGTGGGCTATGCCAGCCTGGTGTTGGATGCACGACCATAGGCGTGGGTTGCTCGATGGCAAGCGGGTCGACAACGGGCTTGGCTGGCCTGGCATTCGATGACGCTGGTAGGTGTGATCGCAACAGCTTGGGTCGTAGTGGAGGACACACAATGGTGCGTCGCCCTATGCTGCAGTAGACAGAGATGGGGTAGACGGTGGCGCGCTGGTGAGGGGGTCGTGGCTTTGGCCGACGGCCTGACTCCTGAGATGACGACGATGATGATGGTGTGCAGAGGTGGGCGTTAGGTGGCATGAAGCAAACTCTTCTCCAGACACATGCCCTCTTGAGGCAGCGGCTAGCCACTACAAGATGGCCACGTTGGCAGGCTTATACTGGGAAGAGCGGATCCACTCTTCTCTCTCACCCTCTACTTCTGCAACTCAAAGACGTGGATGAAGTGGAGCATATCGGAATGTCGAGCTCCTACCTATTGGCCGACCGATAATGAGCACTGGTGTGGTGGCTACGCGTTGAAGGTGTTTAGATGGTGGTAGCTACTAGTGACATGCACACCTTGATAGAGAAGATAGGAAGAGTCCCGGTGAAAGCCCAACATATTCGAGGCCGGCAACAGCGGCACTGCTGGGCGTCACAACCCTTCTGGGGTTGTTGTCGTGGTTTCTTCCCTTCTCTTTCTGATGGAATCTTTCGGGCGAAAACTACATCCTAATATCTCAGGAAGGGTGACGTAGGCATCCTCGGTGTCTTAACCTCCCTGGAGACATTGTTTGGATACCCATTTTCTTCTAAGCTATTTTCTAGACAATTTGTCTCTTGCGGTGACACCTAGTTAGTATAAGTTGGCCATGCTAGATGGGGTGGTGAGGGGGAGAAGATTCCATCTTTTCTCTCACTGTTTTCCCCTTCAACACAAAGGCGTGGATGGTTATGGGATTGTGGGGGGGGGGGTGTCGTGGCCTGCTCCTCAACAGTGATGACTTGTTGTAGACGCGTGACGTGGCTTGGCTTATTTTTTTCCCTTACGTAGTCTCTCGGGAGTATGATCTTGTAATTTTTTTTGTTATATCAATACAAAGTTTTGCACTGTTTTATGTGGATTGTTTTAAATAAATTGTTAATATCTCTAAAGAATGTTGCTAAGTACGATAAGATTTGACTTATCTTTAAACAATGAATATACTACCTCCGTCCCATAATATAACAACTTTGTATGGGATGAGATAATGTCCAGATACATTGTCCTAGAATGGGACTCATCGTATCTTAAATTGCTATATTCTAAGACAGAGGGAGTACATAACGGAGGGTCTAGATTTGTCGTACATTTTGGGACGGATTGGAGGTAGTAGCAAAATCAGCCTTGGGTCCTGTTTAGATTCCAACTTTTTTCTTCAAATTTTCAACTTTTCCATCACATCGAACTTTACTACACACAAACTTCGAACTTTTCCGTTACATTGTTCTAATTTTTTCAAACTTCTAATTTTAACGTGAAACTAAACACAGCCTTATCTGCCGTTTGTAGCTCGGTGACACGTGACGACGTGAGATCCAGCCAACAGGGCGGCGGGCCGGAGGCAAACATTAGAGACGTGGAGCCCTCAACCCCCAAGTCCCATCCCAATCACATGGACCACGGCCCGCCACGTAAGCAGCACAACTGCCCTGATTGGTGGGCCCCCACTACCTCTACCTCCACAGCCCACACCGATCGATCGAGGTCCCCTGCCCGCACACTTCGCGTCAGCTGCTGCCCGCCCGCAGCATCAGCATGGACCTCGCCGCCGCCGCCGTGGCCGTCTCCTTCCCACGCCCTGCTCCCCCGCCGCGCCGCTGCGCCCCACGCCGCCACCGCCGCGCCCTCGCTCCGCGCGCGGCCTCCTCCTCCCCCTCCCCCTCCACGGCGGTGGCGGCGCCCGTCTACGCCCCCACGCCGCGGGACCGGGCCCTGCGGACGCCGCACAGCGGGTAAGCCGTCGCCCGGAGACTGATCATCATACCCTCGATTCTGATTCAGAAATGTAGGATTCAGTTTGGATTCCTGCTTTAGCTCGGATTCTTCGGCAATCCTTTTAACATCATGCATGTTTGAGATTCAGTATGCCTAATTGAAATGATGTGATGGGATGATGCTGTCAGGTATCACTATGACGGCACGGCGAGGCCCTTCTTTGAGGGATGGTACTTCAAGGTGTCCATTCCCGAGTGCAGGCAGAGCTTCTGCTTCATGTACTCTGTCGAGAACCCGTTGTTCCGAGATGGGATGAGTGATCTGGATCGGGTCATACATGGTTCGCGCTTCACTGGCGTCGGGGCGCAGATTCTTGGCGCCGATGATAAGTACATATGCCAGTTCACCGAGAAATCCAATAACTTTTGGGGAAGTAAGCTACTTTTTCTAGATCCAGTCTTTTTCACATTCACCCTCAAAGACATTTCATCTAGGATATTTTTATTTCCATTCAATGGTGAAAGGAATACATATTCGCGCTAACAATCAGCTCTCTGTTCTGCGCAAAATCCTAACGAGCTGACTGTAAGATATTTAATAAAGCAAGAATAGAAGAAGGTTATTAACAACTAGTACAAAACAATACCAACCAAACGCCTGAAATCATAGCCGCTCTTTCATGGTTAACTGAACTCAACGAACTTGTTGCATTTCCCTTCCATCCTTCTTGTCTGGTGCAGATTGATGAAAAGAAGCTTGTCACAGAGCTTTATTCTGAACCATCACCTGAATTTGCAACGGAAGAGGTTGCTTAGTACGATGCAAGTATGCAACATGTCCTCTTTCACGCACCTTTAGAATTTCTAATCAGCCTTTTTGAGATGAGACCTAATCAACTATTTTGTAAAAGCAAGCTTTCTTCATATTAGAGATTGATTTGAGGAAATAAATTTGTGAAAAAAATATGTTTATAACAACAGGGAATTATATTGTGAAAAATATGTTGATAACAACAGGGGCTTATATTAGAAAGACCTTGTGGTCTAGTTCTCGAAAAAGATATAGATGTGTACCTGTGTAGCTCATCACAAACCTGTTCTGACCAATAAGTTGGTTCCAGTCTTGATAATAGTGTTGTGCTGCCGAATCTAGTTAATGTGCTTAACAAGTGGTTATTAGTTAGGGATACCTAACAATTACTACTTTACAGCCTTCTGTCATTATCAAAGTTAACTAAGATGTCAATTTGACAACAATTCCTATTGGTTTATATTCGCAAAACCTAATAAGATCAGAACTAATTTGAAATCATGTTGTTCTTTTGACGGACATACTTGTACTTTCATACTCATCCTACATCTTCCCAAACAGTTCAAGTGCATATATTCTTAGGAGTCTTATTTGTTTTGGATGTAGTGTGCATTCCATGCATCTATAAAGGTAAAAAGTAGTAAACAAAACTGCAGATCAAAAGTCAGAACAATGCAAACTAAGATGCAGTGCAGATATTGATTACTTCATGCTTCTGTTATTTGTAGTTGGTATTGTTTTTCCTGTTCATATGGAACTTTAGTAGTGCATCACAGTATGTTGATTTCCAAATTAATAAGCTGCATTTCGATAGGTAGGCATGAACTAATGCTCGGAAACACTTTCATTCCCAATAATGGTTCAACACCCCCAGAAGGGGAGGTTCCCCCTCAGGTAGATTCTTTATGGATTCTTATGAATTGCAAAAACTCATATAATGATCTGCAACTATTCTCGACTTAACATTTTTTCCTATTAACATATTTTAAATGCCATTCCCTGAGCTACTCCACATCTATTTGATATCCAGTGAATTCATTAAAAAATCTTAGTTTTCTTGTTTAATTTGTGGTTATAACTGACTACCTTTCATATCTAGCATGGTTGGTTCTTTATGCATTAGAATTATATATGATTATTTCACCAACTACCTAATGTGCATGATTTTTCTTTTCAATAACAAGATTAAATTTCACCTAGCAATATTAATAATAAATATTAATGTATGTACTAAAATGCATATACTTAACATCATCTAGTTGTTTAGGGGTGCTGCTTATTGTGAACGTTCCTTGTCCATACTGTGCAGTGCTTCTGTATTAAAGAATTCAAGTAAAAAAATGTTTATTTAGTAACTGGTGTGCCTGTAAGGGAGATTCGCAGTATACATTCTTGTAAGCTTTGATCCTTTCTCAGCGTGCAAGTTTTTTACTAAATAATGAGATGTCTTATCTATTATTCTGTTTACCCTGATATTTCCTCTGATTTGTAACTTATCACTCTCTACATTGCTTTACATGCCAATGGCTTTCTTCAAGTAATCAACGGTTATTATGTTTCATTAGGAATTTTCTAGTCGAGTTTTGGAAGGCTTCCAAGTGACACCGATTTGGCATCAAGGCTTTATACGTGATGATGGAAGGCATGTGCATCTTGATGTTTATCTAAGATCTATTCTTGTAACTATTATTATGTTTCTATGTTTTATTGAAAAGTCATTACAGTTTACTTACTGAGCTTTTTTTTTTGCCAATTTAGTGCGAAATGCTTCTTTCCATAGCTGAACTATAAAGAATAGTTGGATCTGCATGTTGAGAATTTATTTATTTTTAGCTCATCAACACAATGCTAAATGAAATAACCTGAGAATTGTATTCTGGTCAATCAAAATATAATATTGTAGAATCATGTACAAAATTTGAAATATCTGCTTAGTACGAAACTATTTGGAGAGGAAGGTTTGCTTGTTTGTACAAAAGGATAATAGATATTAGTATCCTTCGAATACCATGATGGCAGGATTTTCTGCCAATCTGAATTTTGAAATCAGGCAGATGGATTTCCTAATCTGTAAAATGGAATTATGCATTTATGCAATTGAAAATATGACAAGACAAAATGATGAGTAAATTTTAGAAAACTAAAACTATTTGTCAAAACTATTAATTTGCTACAACTTTAGCTAGGCATTTCAGAGAACTGCAACTACATTTTATGATTTTATCATAGAACTACAACTTTATTTGCTTGACAAGTTTGGACCAACATGCTATACACATATACCATACTCATGCTCCTGCAAGTTGGGCCCACATGTCATAAACACATAGGGGGATAAAGTTGTAGCTTTCTGATAAAATCGTTTGCTATTGTTGCAATTTTGTGAAATATGTTGCTAAAGTTGCAGCAAAGTGATAGTTTTAACCATATAATTGCTGTTTTGTGAAATTTACCGTAAAATGATAAAATGAACATAGCTCTTTCGCTGTCACTTTTGAAGTTCATGAAAGACAACACACTTGATACGCTTATTGCCTTGTCAGAGAGGGATATAGAAGTTTCTATCCTTTAGGTGCTCCAAATTTCTTGAACTATATATTGTGCCCAAACACATTTCTAATAGCAAATTCAACTGTAGAGAGGAAAGGTGATGCGACACCATCTTTGCTCATACATTGCACTTAACTTAATATAAATTTTTTTTAGGAAAAAACAGTAGTTCGTGTGTAACCACGATTGCAGGTAATTAAGAAAATTGCTCTGGATGGTTTGATTGTATCGAATGTTACATATTATAAGAAAAAAAAAGACCTTGACAATGCTTTTAGATTTATTTAGTAATGTTATGCAATGTGTTTATTACTACTATGATGATGCTTATATTACATGCAAATCCTAGAGAACAACTCCTAGCAGTTTATGTCAGGACTGGATACAATACCGTAATTAATGTTTCCCTTCAAAATGTAAATGGGGATTGAGTAGAAAAGAGAGTTTACACTTTATTGCTATTAAATGAACAATTAAAATTTAAATTACCTGTTGCTCCCCTGTCAGGTCAAAGTATGTGCCAAATGTCCAAACAGCTAGGTGGGAGTACAGCACTCGACCAGTATATGGCTGGGGTGATGTCACGTCAAAGCAGAAATCAACTGCTGGTTGGCTTGCTGCTTTTCCTTTCTTTGAACCTCATTGGCAAATATGCATGGCTGGTGGCTTATCCACAGGTTTGTATTTCTTTGTATTTGATAAACTGAACAGAGAGATATTTAATTTTTCTTTTTACCTACTGGTTTTCATTCTAGGTAGATGGCACATGTGCCACTGAGTAATTTACTGAATGATACATTCATCTCTCATGTGTAAAACTATCATGTACGATGGAGTTGTATTTCTTAGCCTAAAATGTGAAAATTGGTTTTCCATTGATGAAGCTTTATTTCAAATTTTTTCTTTAATATTTCTGTAGGAATCCAAATTGCACTAAAAAATACCAGGAAATGTGGCTAGTCCTATCTATATGTCCAATCCTTTTATTCCATTCAGTATGATTTCTCCAGTTCAGTCCTGTAGTAGCGCACGATTGATTGAGGTGATATGATATAGTGTTAGGAAGGTTATAATAATATTAAGTTAATAGTTCAATACTAACTTCTGCAACTTAACTACTCAGGATGGATTGAATGGGACGGAGAGCGGTTTGAATTTGAAAATGCTCCTTCTTATTCAGAAAAGAACTGGGGTGCAGGTTTTCCGAGGAAGTGGTATTGGGTGCGTTTTTCTATCTTCTTTCTGACCATTAATCCTGATGTAATGGATACACTGGAATACTGAATAAGTTTTGCTTCATTTACAGATAGAAAATATGCTGTTTCTTGCTGTAATTCTGTGTTTTGTGTTGCCAGTAATGTTCACCCGTAGTAGCTTTTGGGCTGTTTAGATCCCTTGCCTCACCTGGATTTAAGAGTTTAGGCCTCCAGTAACAACAAAAATGCTTGCTTTGCCTGGCAATCTCACCTCATTGAGCAAGGATATTGTTAGTTCCTTGCTCACAGGGCAATGTTTGGCTTGCATCTCATCCTGCATCTCTTTATCAAAGGAAGCTGGGTGAAGGTTCTGAACAAACCCAATATGCATGAAGGTTTCAAGAATGGCATGCAATATGATGGTTGTAGTGGTCATGATAAAAAATACCTTCTTTAAACATAGTGTGGTCGGTTGAAAGTAGTCAATTTTACTGGTACATTTAGTCATAGTTATAGAGGTTATGCACTTTTAAATATTCATGATATAGCTAGTTTACAAATACTTGTCGCTTCACGTTTCGTAATGCACATTTTCCAATTTTATCCATATTAATTATCTAGTTAGTTGTGGAGGGTAATATGGTCATTTAACATGAAAACAAATGATTACACAAATTTATGTGCCATGGTTAAAAGTGACAAGTAAACGTGAATGGAGAGAGTATGTTTTAGTTTGACTCAAAACTTCACATGAATGACCAAACTAACTGATTGAACACCTTTGCTCATACAGGTCCAGTGCAATGTCTTCTCAGGCGCATCTGGTGAAGTTGCATTAACGGCTGCTGGCGGATTAAGGAAAATTGGATTGGGCGAAACCTATGAAAGTCCTTCACTGGTAGAGTCCTGATACTTTCAGCTTTTAATCTGATGCATACTTCTAATTTGTTCTGCAACTTAGCTCATCATGCAAGCTTGATTGCTGGATGTCTGCCAGACTGCCAGTAAGGCAAAAGGGAATATTATTGATCAACCAGTTGGCCTAAAAATTTTGACTGACAAAATCTTATCCATTTCCGAAGTATGGGTTTATTTTCATTTCAGGACTGGTCATTGATACAACATTTTATGGATTTAGTGGATAAATGTATTGCTGGTGATGGTTATGCCACAAATTAGAATCCCCTTTACCGCAGTGGTTTTAAGTTTAGATCTTTTTTGTGTATGTATCATGAAAGTTACACTAATTGTATGTATCTAGGCGACTTTTCATCCCACAGAACATTTACATCTAGACCTCTGACAGTCGAAACAACCAACGTACAGAAAAGCCACCAGGGTGAGTAAAAAGCATTGGCAGCATAAGCTTGTGTGCAGCCTGAGACAGGGTTGGAATAATCTCTTGTTCCAAAAAGAAGTGCAGCATGCTTTGTTTCCTTTAAATGTCCTGTGGTGTTTCTGTGATGTTATTATGGATTCTTCCTCTTTTATAGAAGGTCCAACGTCATTCTTATCCACTTTCTTGCTTTGCTTTTGTACTCACATCCACATCAACAAAACCATGTATTTATTGAGACCAGGTAATAGATATATTTTCTTTAGCCAGTAATTTCAATACGATGCTTGTTTGCTTTGTGCCCTGCATATTAACTTTCATAAGAGGAAGCATACAATGATCAGACAGAAGATTTACGAATTTAACTATGCACATACATAACAGTTCTGTTTGTTCCCTGCAGATTGGAATTCATTATGAGGGAAAATTCTATGAATTTGTGCCTTGGACCGGGACAGTGAGCTGGGACATTGCCCCTTGGGGTCACTGGAAGTTGTCCGGCGAGAACAAAAATCATCTGGTAATTATCATCCAGCGTGCTGAAAATGTAATGCAGTGCCTGTGCTAGTTGGCTACTGTTCACATTCGAGCAAGATTCCCACTTAGCTTTCTTACTTGTATTATAGATTCTCTTAGGTTGTAAGGTTACTTATGTGGTTCTATGTTCCTTGATTAGCATTCAATGTTCTAAAAGCAGATTATCTAGGTGCTAGGCAGCCTGCTGGCCTAGTATCCAATTAAGTGCCAGGAGCTGATCTATCACCGGACTAGTGCCTAGCACCTGGTGAATGCGACCCTTAACATGCATTGCTACTTTTCTACAGGTTGAAATAGAAGCAACCACAAAAGAACCAGGCACTGCTTTGCGAGCTCCAACCATGGAGGCTGGACTAGTGCCAGCATGCAAAGACACCTGCTATGGTGATCTGAGGCTGCAAATGTGGGAAAAGAGAAATGATGGTGGCAAGGGAAAGGTATGCATGCATGATAATAAGGCCATCAGAATTTTTCAGATAGCTGATGTATTATTGCACTATTACTCTTGTTGCAAAATCTAAGGTGCCAGTTGGGTTAGCTGCCTCGAAAATTGAACTTTATTATGCAATTCACAAGGAGGGCCAGATGTAGCATATAATATGCAAATCAGTATGCGGCCCAAAAGTCCACTACTACCTTCGTTCCAAAAAGAGTTTATACATGAATTTGGACAAGCACTTGTCTAGATAGGTGTAGAGAAAACGAACTCTTTTGGGACGGAAGTAGTAATACTATTTTTTTCTAGATTAGCTTGGGGCTGTTTGGATGGGACTAAAATTTTTAGTCTCTGTCATATCGGATGTTTGGACACTAATTAGAAGTATTAAACGTAGACTAATGACAAAACCCATTTCATAACCCTGGACTAATTCGTGAGACGAATCTATTAGCCCTAATTAATCCATGATTAGCCTATGTGATGCTACAGTAAACATGTGCTAATTATGGATTAATTAGGCTTAAAAAAATTGTCTCACGAATTAGCTCTCATTTATGTAATTAGTTTTGTAAGTAGTCTATGTTTAATACTCTAAATTAGTGTCCAAACATCCGATGTGACAGGGACTCAAGTTTAGTCCCTGGATCCAAACAACCTAATGCCACTATTTTGCCTTAGGAAATATTGAAAGTTAAGGACACAATGAACTCTGATGGATTGATGGCCTCTATAGTTATCTGCCCCCGGAGCAACTGAAAATTTATTAATTCATATATGATAATATATGCATGATACTATCTGTCCTGTCAGGCTCTCCATATTCAAATACTAGAAAATATTTTAATAACACTCTTTAGCCTTTACCTAAGCACATTGTGGGATCAATTTCTGATTCTGCACATACATGGTCACTGTTCAGTATAGACACTTTTATTGAACAGAATATAGTGACCGACTTCATTGATAGTCATCAAGGCATGTAACCATGATCCAAATCAAGAAAACTCTTCTTATTTACTCTAAAAAACTGTAACAAGATTATATGGTGCATTACCAACAAGGCTACAATGTATAAAAATTCCTAGTTGTTTTCAGATGATACTCGACGCAACAAGCAACATGGCGGCACTAGAAGTTGGTGGAGGCCCTTGGTTCAATGGTTGGAAAGGCACGACTGTTTCAAACGAGATTGTGAACAACGTTGTTGGTACCCAGGTCGATGTGGAGAGCCTCTTCCCTATCCCATTTCTCAAGCCCCCTGGTCTGTAGCATTGTTCAGGTCGAGCCATCGATAGGTAGAGATGAATAGGCCCTCCAATCTTGTCACACCTTGAGTCTTGATCTGTTCCTCACTTAGCATCATGTTTTCAGCCAGAGAACTACAGAAACAGTAAACCAATCAGCATGGAGTTTATTCTCGTTGGGTTAGAGAAAGGCGCCTTTCGGGTGAAATCATGTTGCACAAATTTTTACAGATCAGGAATGGATGCTGTAATTCAAGAAAATAAGTATAATTCATCTTAGGCAGTTCCATCCTTTTGTGCTCATCTGAACTTCTGAAGTATCATAAAGAAGTGATAGCTGGATGCCCGGGCCTGCATCTGCAATTGTGGAGGTCTTTCTGGTCAGAATTGGCTGGAAACAATTGTTGTTAGCACACTTCATATGGTAAATCTTTCAGAGGTACTGACAGACAAAGACGTGTGTTTTCAATTATCATTGTACTAACAAGGATACCAGTGGGCCTAACAGCACATGACGGAAGTTCTAGCCTGTTGGCATAACATTGGATTATAGTATTACAAAGCTGATTTTAAATTTTAAAATTTGTATCTAGTATTTATTTAGGGGTTTCTTCGTCACTTTTTTGTAAAATTATTCTTCAAAAAACAAATTTAGCTTTGAAATATAATCCAAAGTTGTCAAAGCGGCTGCACACATATACAAAAAAGCTCAATACAAAGACAATAAGCAATAACTTGGCACATTAATGGACAAACAAATCTGATGACCGAATTTTGGTAACATGTAAATTCTTTAAAGAAAATTTGTTATCACCAACCAAAAACAACTCATACATTCCAAACAAATCTCAAACCATAATACACCAAATTCCAAAAGAATATCCTTTTTTCACTACAAACGTCAAAACCTTACTCCTCAAGTCGTCAAGGTCCAACCTCCAAGGACTACCACTCACCAACTCCTCCCAACCAAACCACCACAATCCTCTGAATCTCACTCACTTCAAACCCATCCAGAATCCCAGATTCACAATTCTGCAGGAGCCACCACAGCATTCCGAAAATCCATTTTTTTGACAAATTCGTTCCTTTTCTTTTTCAAACAGTGAGCTTTGGGATGAAAACAAAGTCATATTATCTGCAGCATCGCATCGGCATCATATTTTTCTTTTTCTTTTTTTGTTGTTGGGATTGATTTATGACATCACATCTGGCGTTGATGTCGTGCCTGCTGGTGCTGCTCCTCTCCCTCGACAAGTTCCTCCTCCACTACCTCAAGAAGCGCTGGCTCTCCCCGAGGATCTCGACTTCCCCGTCCAAATCGCGGCGATCCATGGCGGCGGCGGCGGCGGGCGGCGGTGGCGCCAAGTGGAGCGAGACGGCCATGCTCGTCATCGACATGCAGGTATGTGTGTGTGTGTGGGGAAATTTCTTGGTTTCTTTTGGAGATGTTGGGTTGGTGATGGTTGATGTGGGATTTGCAGAAGGATTTCGTTGACCCGGCGATGCGGAGCCCGATGCTGGTGGATGGCGGCCAGGCGGTGGTCCCCACCGTCGCCGAGGCGGTCGCCGTCGCGAGGGAGCGCGGCATCTACGTCGTCTGGGTACACTTCTTGCTTCCTTCCCCTCTCTCTCTCTCCTCTCGCGGGGTGGCTCGGTTCTTGTTGATTAGTGAAGCTCCATTTCGTCCTCGTGTAATAATTTGTTTAGTCTCGGTTGCTTGGTTTGGTTGAATGCGACGAGGACTGCGAATTTCGTGGTCGGATTCAGGAGGAATCTTGTGTAGCCTGTGGTGCTCTAAGCAAGTGCCACAGATTTCTTGGTTCAGTGCAATGTATGTGCAGCAGTGTGGGATCAAAATTCGTGGGTGGATTTCCTTTGGTTTTTGACCATCCTGCTCGTCGTTTCGGTTTGCAGGTGCAGCATCTGCCAGCATTTCAACGTTTAATGGCGTGGAATTGCAATGGTTGCTCACATTTCCTCACTCTGTAGACTGATTGACGAATAGAAGTTATCTTTTGATTTCTTGTTCTGTCAGGTCATTTAGAACCATATTCTAGGCAACAAACCAGATATTATGCATTATTTTCTGCATGAGTGTATGCAAAGAACAGAGTTTATGTGGTATAGTAGACACACATTTGTTTTTATCTGATGAAAACCAATTTTCATATTGGAGGGTCGCTGCTTTGCTGGATTAGGTGACTGACTCCCTCTATTTCATCTCTAAATAGCAGAAGGTAGGTGTGTTGTTTAATGTTTGGCGCTGCACGACATTATTCTAAAATCTACAAAGCGAATAATTTGCTAGGTGCGGTTTCCACTATGAAACTAAAATTTGGTTCTTTTGAATTGGCTTCTGCAACTTATACATGTTCATGGTTCATTAAATGTAATTTTGAATTTTACTAAACATGCTATTATGATAATCATTGGACGTGTTGCAAAACTAGCAGCTAACCTGTATTAATGTGATCTACATTTCCCCCTTCCTATGCAAAGCATTTTGCTTCACCAGGTAGGGATTTTAATGCCAATAGATTTACATGTGGTCATAGTTTTGAGTTCTGAGACCTTGGTTGATGATGACTGCATGTAGGTGGTCAGAGAGCATGACCCTTCTGGAGCAGATGTTGAAATTTTTCGGAGACGCTATTATTCTGGTGGGAAGGGCCCAACAGTGAAAGGTTTGAAAGGTGCTGATCTAGCTGATGGGCTTGTTATCAAAGAAGGGGAATACAAGTTGGTGAAGACAAGGTTCAGTGCTTTCTTTGCGACACCCCTTGATTCTGTCCTCAAAACCTCAGGAATAAAGAAATTGGTTATCGTTGGTAAGCACTGATATCCATCTATCGAGACAGAGGTGAACATTGTTTTCTTAGCTTGACAATAAATTCTTGTTGTTTTGTGTTTGTTCTTTAAGGGTAGCAATTCTTTTTCGCTTTATTCACTTTGCAATTTTCAACATCCTTATGTTCTAAGTGGACATATAATGGCAGTAAAAACTATCATATGAAGTGGTGAAAAGTCCCGAAATTGAATGCTTGCACAGTACTGTTTTGTAGTCTAGTACATTACAGACAAATATTGATACTTTTCTTTTGTGCCTGAGGATCTCTACCGCATTGCTCAGAATCACATTACTTAAGTGTTTATGGTTTTTTAGGGGTTCAAACACCAAATTGCATCCGGCAGACAGTCTTTGATGCTGTAGCATTGGACTATGAGAAAGTGACAGTCATTATTGATGCAACAGCTGCTGCTAGGCCAGAGATCCATCTGTGTGAGTAATCATTTTTCTCACTTCCTCTTCTTGATCTTGGTGATTTGACATGGACATGACATGTTTAGACTTTAGATTAATGGTAGATGCACCTTTTCAAACTAAAAGACAACTTTCCATGCCAATTAAGTGCTCTATTTTAAGATACCAGATTTTGTTCACGACCCGATTTTGTCTTCGGTGATGTAAATGTTACTGGGTAAACACTGAAATTCTGGAATAGCACGTAGGCCTAGAGAGCTAAGCTCATTTAATGATAGACTCTTTATATGTTATGGTTCCATCAAATTCTTATTGCATAGTGACTTGATTCGTTCTCTAGAGCTGCTTGTCAGATCGCATGCTATGTTGGACAACAGGTGATTTAGCCTTTTATTTCTATAAATATTAGTACAGTTTGAATGCGTTACAAATGTAGGAATCAAAGGGTAGGGAAACTTGTAAAATCCTATTCAATACGAATAAATATATAGTTTCAATATGTGATATATTCACAATGTGCAATAATTTAGCATCGAAGTTGCAAGTATTAGGTTACAATAAGTTAATAATCAGCCACAGCTCTTGTTGGCAACTATAATTCTTCCTGCTTTGTCAGCTGACGAAAAGAATCTGGAGTTTGTTTCCTGTCTTTATTCTGTTCTCTGAGATTACTGGTGACTGAAGGTTACTATTTTATGTTAACCAGCAAATATAAGAGATATGAAGAATATCGGAGTGGAAACACCAACCTTGGAAGAATGGCGACGATAAAATTGCTGTTTCTAGTGATATACTACATGCTCAACTCCAAAGTATTGGAGACATCCCTGTTCCTTTCCATCTCAGTGGGTGTAATTATATTAACCTTATGTCAGGTAGACCAACAGCAGATACTGTTTATATATATATATATATTCAACTGTACAACTCCTAACCATTCCTATATAAAATTGATCATATTGGGATTACTGCTATCAGTTTTATGTGTTTTAGAGTCATGGAGCACACAGAATTGCAGATGATTTGTTCTAGATAGAAGAAAGTTGTGAGACAGAAAAACCTTCTTTTTACAAGTCTTTTGAAACTGTCCTGATAGAAAGTTCTTGATATCTAGATGAAAGTTGTGTGATGAAAAGCCCTTTTTTTTCTTTTTTGGGACACCTTTTATTTTTTGGAGAAAAAGTAAATCTCCTGGTGGATTTTGATATCTACTTTGACGATTGATTTTTGAAATTGTAAGATGAAAATCTAAGGCCCTCATCGGATGGCCTAATCAGCCAAAGAAAAAGCCAAATTTTGAATTTTCAAACTTAATTTTGAGATATTTTCAACGTAGTTTCTTTTTCAACATTGGCTTTTAAGTCACGAAGAACACATTTATAAAAGTTTTATCTACAAATTTATTTTTATTTCCTAATAAGCCAAACGATGAGGACCTAACAGTTTCCAGTAAAGTTGCCTGCCGTTTACCACGCATAGTGTATTCATGCAGCTGTGCCTTAGCTTGTTGAAATAAATAAAAGAGTGAATTGTAGTTTTGGGACCGTCTTTCCTCATGTTAGTTTTCCTCCAAAATTCCTATGAAATGAACTATTCCATACGGATTTTAAAGCATTTGGGGGGAGGGACATTCCTTTTTTTCCAAAGTCCCATGTAGGAAAACTTTCCAACGGATTTTAATTCTCCAAAAATCCTCTATTTTTTTTTCAAAGGAACCCTAAATGATCATTCATGCAATTTTCCAAAGTTTTTTTTTCCCCACCTTAGTATTTGAAGTGCTAAGCCACTTGAATCCTACTTTTTTTTTGGGTGCAAATCATGTGTTCCAAAAGAGTAAATAAATGAAGTACATAGAGCTAGGACAAATTATATTGTTGAGATGTCGTTAGCATGGCCCAATGTGAAAACAGTTGCTCGCCTACTCCATTAGCCTTGTCCAAAATCACGTGTATGCATGAGGATTAGTCAAACGTACCATGGGCCATTAAAATGATAAGATGCGTGCATTTCATAGGAATTTGTTTTTTTGTTCATTTCATCATAAGATGCGTGCATAGTGCATACATACAGAGAGATCAAGTGCTAATAATGCTACTGGTATTCTTGAAGTGATATTTTATTCTTTCAACCTCTCACTCAGCCTCACCATAGCCTTCCAGGTTTGCCCCTCAGCTAGCCCCTCTTACCTGATTTTTTCACTTCATATGCTATTTAGATTTTCTTCACTGCTCCTACATGCTAAAAATCTAATTTTGCAGGTGTGGCTTGTCTATGTAACTTGCAAAAAACACTAGCGATAAAATATATAGGTAAAACTCATACGTACATATAGGACATCCTTTCTAATTGCCAACATGCTAAAATTTAATTTTATTAAAATCTATAGAGAATAATGTGGACTGTGGTTTATACGGTCCCAATTCACAGTTCACTGGAATAAACCAGAGATGAAGATTAGAGGAAAAAGAAACACAATTGCGTTGGGACTTTATCGTGCTATAAATTACAAAGCGCTCTGAAGGTACACACAAGAAAGACCCTGTGGTATGACCCAAAACAAAAATAAGAATTCCCTTGCAATTGGAATAGCAAAATTTCTCTACATTTTCAAGATATACAATGACATTTGCAAATTATATATCTCCTAGCAAGTTTTTTTATCTTAAAATGAACAAAAGTTATAAATCTTAATGATAGGTTTGTAAATGATGTATCACTAAACATCATTAAGAACATAATATGGAACTAAACACTAAAAGTTTTATATATCTCTAAAACCCGTTAACTCATGACATTCCGAATTTTGATGCCAACAAAGGTACACAATTTTTTCTTCATCGATCAATTCCACACCATACATATCCCAAACTACAGTAATAGTTTATATCACAGGTGTCGTTATACAAAAGATACATCACACTATACTCAGATCATAATCTCCACATGGCAGAAAAGTGTGAATTTCGTGTTTAGAAAGGTAACCATATATTGCTGTAAATTCTGACCTTCCCTCAAAATAATAATACTCCTGTCATTTTTTTAGCAAGAAGATATATACCATCATTTTTTAACAAGGGAAGATACATCTATCATTGTGTATTGACATACTGCTTGCAGGATCTGAGCATCCATGTGAAATGAATTAATCATGCAGCAACAAAAAAGAAATTCAAAAACTACATATTGAATTGCACTGTAGTACTACTTGAAGGACATTTCAGTCATAAAAAAATGCATTATGTATCATCCTCTACTTTTACTATAAGGGGACAAAGCTAGATTGGTACATTTTACCGGGGCTAAGCGTACATTACTTTGAGATCCGCACATGCAAATGAATGGTGCAGATTGCTGGTGCATATGCACCTAGGTGTAAAATTCCAACTCCTGTATAGTTGGGTTCGTTTGTGTGTGTTGGGAACCCATTTGCGCATGGAAAAAACAGAGCAGTCTATTAGCGCATGATTAATTAAGTACTGTATTAGCTATTTTTTTTCAAAATTGGATCAATATGATTTTTTAAGCAACTTTTGTATAGAAACTTTTTGCAAAAAAAACGCACCATTTAGTAGTTTGAAAAGCGTGCGCGCGGAACACGAGGCAGGTGAGTTGGGAAAGTTGGGGGAAAGAACTCAGCCAATATGTGTGTGGGGGGGGGGGAGGGGGGGAGGGATATGGATGTGGATGTGAAATTGATGTCAATTTGGATGTGGCTATGAATGTGATGAATGTGACTATCATATTGTGTGTTAGTTGATGAATGGATGTGAATTGGATGTGTATTTGGATGAATGTGAATGCGGCTATCATATTGTGTGTTTTTTTGAAAGAAATACCGCAAGGGAGGTCCCCGCTGTTAAAGAACTTTATTAATGAAAGGTATAATGAGAAAGATTACAACAAACTAATCCAATTTAAGATTACATCCTTATCTCTCTCACTTATTCTAAACAACAAGAGGAGGAGGTTACCTTTTAAGAGTTGCCTCTAGGAAGACAAGGAAAGAATTTTTGTTAAAAAATGAAGCCATTCCTCTGCTTCCAAATATTCCATGCACCATACACAAACTTTTCCATAAAACACTATCCCTGATAGTGAGATTTTGCATGAATCATCATACTATCCATGCTCAGAGAAGTATCCCAGAAAAACAAGAGCATTCCAATAGCTCTGTGCAAAAGAACATTGAAAGAAGAGATAAAGCAGGTCCTCGATAGAGTTAACTGAACAAAGCACACAACTTAAGTCACAAGTCCATGGCATCACATCTAGTGCTGACCGTGCCAACCAAATATGGAGTGGTGGATGCCCACAGACATTAGCATCCTTAACAGTAAAATTTATCCACAAATATAATGATTTCTAGAATGCTACTTATCCCATCAACCATTACTAAGGCACTACTAGAGACCGGAAGGCTCCTGTGTGCCCCAGGGTCACACGGGAACAGGTAAAAAATGCACGATAACGGCGTTACCAAGTGCCAGCTCACGGTAACGGTGACATAGGAGCTTCACCAGTTTACTGTGTGGACTTCCCTTGAGTTCACGTGAAAAGCGCATATAGGATGGTTATATTTTTTTTTACCCAGTAAGTATACACTGGTTATATCTTTTTTTTACTACCTGTAATTCCTTTACCCCTTTTTCCATCACAATATATACAAATCATCAGCAAGCCCTACATCATGTCCCATACATTTATCTCTAATGCAATACAAACCATACAACACAATAAAAAGAACAAGTGTATATTTCAGTAAACATAGGTTAAGATTAATTAGCATACAAGCAGTTCATGGTTCATGTCAATTAAAGCAATACTCAAAGCACTGAGACAAGAACTAGCGACAACTTATTTAGTTGATTGATGGTACAGAGCCTAGAGTTGATACTTGAATATACTTGCAATTATGATAAAGTTATAAGAAACAAATAGGCAAAGACATGAAAAGGTTGTACAATTGAAGCAAAACATAGCAATGGAAACTAAGACTAGTTGCTCAATGGATAAACTATAACTAGATCTGTTAGACTGTCAATATCTAACTCAACACTGTAACTTGAGCAGTTTTTCAGTTAATAAAATGTGGAGATGCCTGTATTTTATTCACCGCATTGAAGCATTACAACACAAATAATAACTTAGAAAAATAACCCACAATCTTCCACAGATACCATTCAGATTGAAACTTCTAACTCTACCAGGGAGAAAAATAAGTGAAGGCAACGTTCATCATAATTAATTGTGGCAAGATTTTCCCACAAAACAGATGAATGTTATAGATGAAAGTAAATACCTTTCTCATCAACCCCACAGTTGCTACTCACTGCAGCTACACATATTACTTCCGTCGCCGGTGTTTATATTTCATCATTGTCATCTTCATCAGTTCTATCAAAACAAAAAAAAGCAAATTTTAGTATAAATGAAATGAATCAACTTCATCATCACTTATTGACATCACAATACAGACCACCAGCAAGCACAAGGGCACATCACATCACACATCCTCACCATTACTGCTCTACTTAGCCGAAGCCTGAAGAAGTGAGTGGAACCTGGGCGAGCTTGGTGCGCTCGAGCATGTCCTCGGCGGGGGAAAGCGTGGGGTTGTCCTCGCTGGTGTCTGCTCGGGGAGGATGGAGTTGACATGAGGTGGGGAGGAATGTGCGGCGGCTGAGCGGGCCCCGCCTCCCACTCCCTTCTCCCCGAGCTCCTACCACTCTCCTCCATCCCATCACCACAAACGAGAAACTCCAATCAGTTAGAGATTGAACTTGAAAACCCGATGGAGAACCATGAATAGTGGCCCTCAGGTAAAGCGCCACCGAAGACGGTGTCAACCGAAAAGTAGATCTTGGAACATCCACCACCAAACGAAACGGAGAAGAACTGAAGTGAGAAGAGAAATGCACCGGAGAACCAAAACACCGCCACGCCTCATCACGGATGGAATCCCCCAGGGAGAAATCCCATCCTCTCAAAGGCGCAGGTGTGACCATCGCCGGCTACGAGAGATCACCATGGGGGGTCGCCTCCTAGAGCCGAAGAGCTCGCCATCTAAATCCCGGAGTGCTATATTGTGTGTATGTTGATGAATGGATGTGAATTTATTGGAATTTTTGTGATTGTATGATTTGTATGTGAAATTGGTAGGTTCTGCCTTTTTTTTTCTTGCCAACTATAAAGTTCTGGTTTTATTAAAAACCGACACCTATAGTCTTTGCCACGTGTCTAGACTGGTCAACAACCGACACATATATGCTATTTATAGTTTTAAAGAACCGGCACCTATATAAACAGTCACATGACACTTTAGTTTAGAACTAGCACCTATAATATCGAATAACATATAGGTTTCGGTGATAAAAACCGACACATGTATGTCTACAGCGACGATAATCGAAGTCGTTAGTGTCGTCTGCTGGGTCAGTTGAAAAATCCGACACCTATGACCAGTTTCCAACCGGCACCAAAGTATCTTTTTTGGGTGCTGTCCTCTTCTCCCTGCTTTAGCTAGAGTACTTTTGATTTGTTAAGAGCAGCTATCTTGCTCCAACGGCATGGAGTTTGGGCACTAATAAAGACGACTTTTGATGATGTTCCCCTACAATGCACAGGTGCACGGCTCATAAGGGAATTTACCCGTGCAGTATATGCTAGCTCTGGGGCCTGTGTCACCGGCTGTATGTGGAAACATATTTCTAGAGGCTAGAAACGGTCAGTTAAAGTCGACCGCCTATCCCTATTTTCCTAGCTGGTGATCTTAGCTGATCATCTCTAAAAATCGACTTCCAACAACGGCCGCTATAAGGTTGCCTGCCGTCTGTGGCGGCACGTTGTCCTTTGCATCATTTTTCACATGCTTTTTATTAGAGGCCATCATCTGCACCACCTTTCCAAACGCATTTTAGCTGTTTATCTAGAAATGGTTTCCGTAGCAGTGGGGGCTACCGGCCACGTTGTACCCAAAATTTTGACAAAAATGATAATTTTAGAAAACTTATTCGAAGAATGAACCGTGAAAAAAATCTTATTGAAAAATGAACCGTTGGCTTAGTGCTAACCTAGATAACGCTGATCAAGCTATAATGTCTTAGTGCCATCAATATTGGTGCTGAGCTCTCGTCCGAGGTGTTGTGACTTTGCCAAGTCATCATAGCTTAGTGTGAAATGACTTGGCGTTGAGGTCTCCACGGATTAAATAGTAGCACAGGCATATTCTTTGATCAGAACCGCAATAGTGTGGTGGTTAAATTCTTCAGTTATAAGCCCTTGGGTGTCCATCCTGTCCATTTTTTTGGTTTTTTTCCTTTTCTCTTTCTCCTAATACTAGGTGAAACCCACGCGTTGCTGTGAGACTTTAGTAAATAATGGATAACTAGGTGGAATCAGCTTATATAAGTTGATATGATTTATGATAATTTAAATAGTATATGGAATAATGATGATTCAAATGTAAAAGTAAGGTGATGTGGCTTTATGGGATAAGAAAAGGAGGGAAATAATTTGAACCCTAGATTAATCACTAAGGGCTAAAATAGTTGAGATGATATGGCTTAACGAGAGAAGAAAATGAGAGAGATAATTAATTTTGACCACTAATTAATCATCTAAGGTCTAAAAAACAGTTGATATGATATAGCTTAATGAGAGAAGAAAATGAGGAAGATAATTTGAACCGTAGATTAATTCTAAGGGCTAAACACAATTGATATGATATGGCTTAATGCGCAAAGAGAGAAAGAATATTAACTAAGTGATGATTAACTATAGGGATATAATTTACACCATAGATTAATTATCTAAGGGCTAAAAACAATTGAGATGATATGGCTTAATGAGAGAAGAAAAGAGGCAAATAATTTGGATCATAGATTAATCATCTAAGAGATAAAAACAATCAATGTGATACAGCTTAATAAGAAAAGAGAGAAATAACATTAACTAAGCGAGGATGAACTATAGGAAGATAATTTGGACTATGAATTAATCATTTAAGAGCTAAAAACAGTTGAGGTGATATGGCTTAATGAGAGAAAAAAATGAAGGAGATAATTTGGATTAAAGATTATTCATCTAAAGGCTAAAACCAATTAATTTGATACGACTTATGAGAGAAGAGAAAAATAACATTAATTAAGTGAGGAATAAAAAATGATGGAGAGATATGTTGACATATTATGTGAATTATGTGGATGATGATTTAATATTTTTGTATTTCTAGAGCTCTAAAATTTAATAAATTATAGAATTATAGCATACTTTGTATGATGTTTAAGATGTAATAATTGTTATTGGATAATGATATGGTATCTTTACATGCTGCACTTTAGAATTTAATGAATTGTAAATTTACAGTAAGATAGGATACTTTAAAAAAATAATATTTTTTTATTTGTAAATTTATTTTTATTTTGAACTTGAAAAATATGAAATGAAGCATATTATATTGCAGATTTGAAAACTTAAATTATATAATATTTAGATTAGTTTATATGAATTTCTATATAATATTAGGAGAGTAAGAGAAAAAAGTTTTTTTTTTTCAATTGACTACTCACTCTTATTCTTTTACATATTGATCTGTTTCGTTTGTAATTTTTTTTATTTTGAATTTGATTTCGAGTGCCAATATGAAAGAAGTATATTATTACGCTCGTTTCAAACTTTCATCAAGGACATCGATTTGTAGATAGCTAGTAACCTAATATATAATTTAAGTTCCTAAATTTTCCATATCATTCAAAATAAAACAAACTTTGCAAATAAAACATATCAATTTAAAAATAATATTACGAGACACGAGAAAAGAAAAAGAAAGATAAAGAAAGAGAGAGAAAAGAAAAGAAAACGAGAAGAGAGGGGAAAATTAAAGGAAAAAACACCGGGACGTTATAACTGTGTGAAGTTTGGCATTCTTTAAACATATAATTAAGTTTTCGTTATGTCCATGCTTTAAATAAGTTTTTTAGAAAGATCATTTTTTGTTAAAATTTCGGCACGTTGTAGCTTGGGTTGGCAATGCGCCCTGCCCCTGATTGACTACCGGGGATCGATAGATGAGACGATCGACGCGATGGAGTGTGGAAAAGTAATTAGAGGAGGGCGTACGTACGTGTCGCCACCATGAGACTAGTCCTCCAGCGTACGAGGATTAGACGTACCTACCGTCGATCACGCACCTCTAGGGTCGCTGCCGATCACCGTCCATGTCATGTCTGCTGCTGCTATACCTATAGAAATGCTCCTCTCCAACCATAAAAAGGACCCAGCCAGTGCTGCCATTTTCTTCTCTCCATGATCAGGCAGTGCTATATATGCTAGCTAGTACACACAGTCACACACTACATCGCAAGAGGATTAATATAATCCCGATCGAGTAGATCGAGCTGTCCGGCCGTGCGAATCTTGGTGATATCCATGGCGCCGGTGGCCGGCTCCGGCGACGAGTGGAGTGAGACGGCCATGCTCGTCATCGATATGCAGGTATATATACACCTACTCACGCGATCAAGGGTATACATGTCAATTAGCTGATATTACTATTGTGGAATTACAACATGGTGTGTGAAAAGACGGGTTAATAGTTTTAAGTGGGGTTCAATTTTTCTGTCCATTTTTTTCTCGGTTTGCCAGTTTTGGGGGTGTACCGTTTTTGGTAGAATGGTTCTTTTTTCCTAATAGAGACACGGAGAGAAGCTAGGATGGCTGCACTTTGATAATAATAGTAGAGAGATATGTCATATGCTATGCGGTTGAAATCTAATGGTTTTTCTGCTCGAGTTGCATTGGTGGTTTAATGCAGAAGGATTTCGTGGATCCGGCGACAAGCAGCGCCGCGCTATTGGCCGGTGAGGCCATTCTACCCACTGTCACCGCAGCAGTCGCCGTCGCGAGGCAGCGTGGTATCTTCATCGTCTGGGTTAGTCCCTCTAACTTGGGATTGAGTCTAGCATGTAGCATATGGTGGGTGATTATTACCGTACCACTCAAAAAATTTAACAGGTCCTTCCTTAGAATCTCGTGGGAAGCTAGCTGCTATTCTCAGATAATAGCCTACATATAGTTTATTTTTCTTAACAAGCTTATACATATTATTGAACAATTTGATCAGTTTGAGATAGATCGTGGATTTTAGGACTAGCTAAAGAAGGTAGGGACCTTAATTACGAGTTTCCTCAAACATGCCCTTATTTTTTAGCTAGCCGTCACTAGCGCTATAAATTTGCATTGCTAGAGCTGGGTAGCCTATGCTTACTTGAGTGTGATGTGTATTATATATTTGTAGTTTTAGAAAATAAATGTTTAAAAAACAAATCTCTTGTGGGCATCAATACAAATATAACACAAATATATGAAGCAATTGACTTTTTTTCTTAAACTTTAAGCAACATATTTATTAAATTGTTCAGTTAAGTGAAGTAAAAAAGAATATCACTAGATCCATCATCGAAAGTACTTTAAGCATGCCAGCAGCATGTTTGTATGTTTGCACGCATAGAAATGCATTGTTTATTAACCGATGGGTTTTATTAATTATGAGCTACCACATGTTGCATGTTTTTATTGAACTTGAGCAAGCCGTGTATTTTAACTTAATGTACACATATTGTTACAATTGTATACCAATATTATCGTCCTTCATATGCATCTCATTTTCCCCCCTATGATTTATAGTTGTGGTGGTTGAATGATTTATCAGTTATATGTAACAAGCTATACTGATCGTTTTATAAATCCAATCCAAGAGGAATCTTATACCATGTTAAAATTTAGTTCACTCTCCCAAAAAGGTCTTATGACACACTATAAGAAAACCATTTTCTCAGATGAGGTATTTTTTTCAGGCGGGTAGGCCTCTCGGAGCCAAATGCCTGTCTACGAAAATAGCAACAGGGAGCGAGACCGTCGTCCGCTTGCGAAGATTGATTTTTCAGGCGGACGACATAAGGTGCCGCCTGCGATTATCACAGGCAAACGTCTAATGTGGTCTGCCTGCAAAAATCATACCTGCAGCTCCAACCAGAGGAGTAGTGTCTAAGAACCATTCTTATCCTCTCCATCACTCATTTCCCTCCCCCTCCTCTCTGTCTCTCACACGCGCTACTTCACGCATCGGCGGCTCCAACCAGAGGAGTAGTGTCGGCGGCGGTTTCGAGGAGGAGCGCCTGGGGTAGGGGCGGCGTCAGCGACGGCTCCGACGAGTGGCGTCGGCTGCGGCTCTGACGAGGAGGAGCGGGCAGTGGCGGCAGCTCCGAGGAGGAATAGTCTTGGCGAGGGTCTCGACGACGAGGAGCGGTGTCGGCGGCGGGAGGAGCGGCTGGGGCGGCTGCTCCGATGAGCGGCAGGAGTGACAGTGGTTCATTAGATGGGAAGGGGCGGTGGCGGCGGTGTGGCGCCGGGCAACTGGCGACGGCGGCAGCACGGTCGGATGGGGGATTTTTTTTTGTTCACGGAGTATATTTTGGCAGGTAGGTGGTTATACCGCCTGCAGATTTCGCAGGCGGAGCTGATGCCCGCTTGTAAAAATCGTATATTTTTGTAGGCCTTTACTTGCATGTGGGGTGGATGGCTACCTAGAAAAATCCATTTTGTCTGCTTGCAAAAATCTATTTTCTATAACTAGTGTGAAACTAGAACTAGATTATATGTTCTTGTGCCAACTACCAAAAGGTCATCTCGTTCATTTCAGAATTACTATCTCCTTCGCATAGCATAATATAATGATTGGAATATTAATCGAATTTTATGCCAAATATAAGGGATTGAGTAGTCCTACTTTTCCCTCCAAAAACAACTCCAAATTTAGGGCATTTCGAAATGCATAATTTAAAAAACGGAGGAATAGAAAAAACATTGGGTTTTGATAAGAATAGAAGTGTAAATCAGAGAATTACAAAATACCGAAAATACATAGGAATTGTCATTTGGTTAGGCAGGAAGAAAAACACAGGATTCAGATAAGAAAGATAGACTCAAAGAAAATTTTTCAAGTGGTTGGAGCTTTTCTAAAGTTTCCTCTAAAATTTGCATACAATTAGCCATTCCATAGAAATTTCATAAGATTTAAGCTCAACTCCTTTGTATATATCAAATAGAAAAATTTCCTATAGGATTTGAATCCTGTGAAAATTTTCACAAATCCTTTGATTATAAGGTGACCTAAATTTGTCCCCACCTTATTACCTCCACCTATCCAACCATTCCCAACACACTACTCAACTAATGAGGGGCGTCATATTATTTTTTTCCTTTCTCCAATGCATCTCTAAAACCGTCCTCTGCAAAGTCGCTTCTGAACTTGCTCGAATCAGAACAACCATTATTTGGGTTTGCAACACTTATCAACAGTTCAGCTTCAGATGGTGGTTAATTCCTCAGTTTGTTCACTTTTCAGCCACCAGTTCAAGTCACAGAGAGGCCATAGGCTGCCACCATACATCTATCTGCTTGATTGCCTCCCTTTTGGATCTTCTGATCTACATGTTACAAGAAACTAAGGGAGAAAACAGACAAAAATGAACATGTTTAGCAGTGACCACTGAGCTAGGAAACATGTATCAGATGACAGACAAAACCAAACCACATGAAGAACAGTTAAACGAAAGGGACAGGAGAACAACATGTTGCACTTGTGTCATCACAAAAAGAAAAAAAAAAAGGTTGCAATCAACAATGAAAGGGAGATGACAATGCACTTCTTATTAATTCCATAAAAAAAAGGCTGAACTCATGCACACACAACCTGGGGATAAGATTCAAAATTGGAGAGAGAATAAATAAAGCAAAAGAGGAGAAGCACCGTGCCAAAAGGTAGGGAAAGATGTATAACAAAAAAAACATTTACAGAAGGCATATTGGAATATGACAAATAGCAGGGAGAATGACACATGTGGAGCTCACCACCTTTTTTTTAAGTTGATTAGATTGCCAATTAAATATTCCATAGACCAAAATTGTCCGATTTAGATGAAGGGATGTAGATCAAATGTCATGTAAAGTTTGTCTGGTTTAGAAGTTTAAAGAATTATAGTTGATTTTTGCCTTCAGCAAAAGTACAAGGTGTGAAATAACCTCTGTTTCCTTTTCCTTGTATACATTATGCTCTATAAATTAGGGGCTCTAAAGTTCTCATTTTGAGATGCTGCCATGCCATGAATGTTGGACTGATGAACTGATTGATGAAGATGAACTGCATATATGCAGGTGGTCAGAGAGCATGACCCTTCTGGGAGAGACGTTGAACTTTTTCGCAGGCACTTCTATTCTAGTGGCAAGGGCCTAGGGGTGGAAGGTTCCAAAGGTGCTGAGCTCGCTGATGGGCTTACTATCAAAGATGGGGATTACAAGTTGGTGAAGACTAGGTTCAGTGCTTTCTTTGCAACGCACCTTGATTCTGTCCTCAAGACCTCTGGAATAAAGAACTTGGTTATTGTTGGTAAGCACAAAATATATATTTAATCAAGCTATGATTTTGTAATTTGCGGTCATTTGTCCTGCAACCTATAATAATTGGCTGTAGCAAAGGCCAGAAATAAATTCTATTATTAAAATATATATATACACATATGTATCCATGGGAAAACCATATCTTGAACAAATCATATATCATACCTTGCATTTCTTTTGTGCTTGAGAGTTCAGTACTTCAGTACCACATTGCACATCACTAACGTTACAGCTTATATATTTATTAATTTGCTTTTGAATTTCAGGGGTTCAAACACCAAATTGCATTCGACAGACAGTCTTTGATGCTGTAGCACTGGACTACGACAAAGTTGCTGTCATTATTGATGCAACAGCTGCTGCTAAGCCGGAGATCCATTTATGTAAGTACACTTTTCACACTTCACCTTCTATGTATCTGTCACGTCCAAAAATTTAGCCAAATTTATAGATTATTTTGTTTCTAATCAAATCAGGGTACATAAAATGACAAATTAATATAAAGATCCAAACGTAAATAAAATATAAATACTTACAAAAGACACTTAGTGATCCTTACACCGAAAAGAAAGTAGCAGCAACGAAAAAAATGCGATCCTAGCGAGGCTTCAGCTCCACTCCATAGGTAAAACTCAACTAGGGTATAAGCCTTTATCCTCTAACTCCGTCTTCAACTCAGGAGCACTACGCTTCTACAAAAGTTGAAATAATAGCGAGACTGAGTACAACCATCGTACTTAGCAAGCACGCACCAATGATGCAGGCGTGCATAGGGAGACAAAGAGGGGTTTGCGGCAATTTACATAGAGGCGGTTGTAAACATTTTATAACTAGTCTAAAACAGTAAAATAGTTGATTAATTAAGGCAAGATTAAATGTCCACGGAACAACACTACACCATGTTGAACAGGCCCAACCAAACCACCTAAACTACACCAGTTCATTATGTCAAGTTATTAATAATGTGGGACTAATCACGGTGAATCTGGTTGATCGACCATAACCACAAACACGGCTATTCGAATAGTTTTACGCTAGCCAGAGGTGCACAACTGTACACACAATACACAATCCATCGGCATGTCACCGTGTCCGGCCAAACACGTAAACATGTCGAGTGATTGTGACAAAACGCTTCGCATAACTCCCCCTGACCATGCGCACCACACCGCAGGTTTTGCCCCCACCTTTAAAACAAAGGTGGGCAACCCCCTCGTGACTAGGTGAATCCGGAAGCCACATAGGCCATCGCAGGGCCCATCCAAACTCCACCACACCCATCCTTGCCTGGGAATGTCGGAAAGGGGAAAGTTATACAAGTCCAGCAGTTACCCATTCTTGCTTGTGGTAAGCGCGGTAAGTATTCCAATGTTTCCGTGAACCGGTCCTTATTTGCCATGGGTGTGACCAGCAAAACCATGCACCCAATTTTTAATCCCAAACGGAAATTGGGGCATGACAATAACTTTCAAAACCAAAACATCTCACGACAATAGAACGAATCATCCATAATGGATTGGAACCCTCATCATTGCGGCAAAGTGTGTGTGGTCACTGTTAAGTGATCAATAATGTGAAAAACCTCTCTATGACGGGCGAGTAGCCATTACTGATGATAGATTTCTTTATCGGGCCCAACTTCCACCCATCACCGATAAGGTTTTCCTAAAACGCCACACTTCTAAAAGCCCATCACGAATGTGTCATCAATGACGGGCTTCAACTTTCACCCAACAAAAGTGACGGTTGTCACCTTTGATGGGGTGTTTTAGCGCCCGTTACGGATGACCATTTGTGGAAGCTTGGAAATTACACACGGGAAAAATGTGTATCTCATCGATAACTCCTTTCTTTTGCGACCCAACACAGACGAGATTTTTCACAAGAAAATAAATTTGTTTTATTGGCTAGCCTTAGACAAATGCTACCCACGCCCGCACGTCCAGTGCTAGCACCATATGCCTCACACAAAGCCCACATGTGCCATATGCCCACAAACTGACCCATACGCGCAACCGCGAGGGTCGGCTCAGATATCATTTATAACAGTCTGTCCTCCAGAAAACGCAGCCCAGCCCAACCGACAGGCTGGCCTACTTACATAGACCATCTCATTTACACTTTCGTACTCGCTTCATGTAAAATAGTTAACCCAGAAGTGATATGGTTAGAGGAACAAAGTCTTATAAGTTTGTTACAACATTGCTAAAGTAGTAAGGTGGTACTAAACATGCGCACACAGCTCTCATGTGCCACATAGGCCAAATCCTAATTAGGCCAGGATGTCACACGGCAATTAGAGTATGCCAATTTCATTGAATGTAAGAGTAAAAGGTATTGTGAGAATAGTTCAAAGAAAAAAAAAGTAAAGCTAAGGGATAAGCTCTAAAAGTCGTTTTGCTTCTGGTAGAGTCTAAGTTTTGGCCTCCTCAACTTTCGCCACTAGGGCTATCGCAGAAAGTTCTCTGTGTTGGGACATTTTTTGGTTTCTCCTTTCAATATTTCAAGCCATTAGTAGCATGATGGTGCAAACTCCTTTTTTCGGTCGCCCCTTGCTTGCAGTCAGCATCGTCCACCACTCATGAACTATTGAAGCTATGCTCCATATTGTCGGTTTGATTTGCTCGAGCAAGATCCATGTTGATAGCATGTCCCATATTCCCTCTGTATATCTACATTTTGCTAGGAAGTTGGAGGGTGTCTTTGGGTGTGCCGATAGAGTGAGTAGTAGGTACTGTTTGGTCAGCCATAGGTTGCTAGTCTATCAGACATCCACATTCGCTACACCATGACCTGAAAGCTACAATAGCTCATCTGTCGGTAAAGACCACCTATTGCCAAGGAAAGATCTTGCATTTCTTCGGCGCTTAGGGCATCGAGATAATCATCTTGTAATTCGTGTTGATGGAGCCAAAGAACTACACTTTGTAAGTGGATACTGCCATGTGTTCTCCATGTCTTATGAGCTTTCAAGTGATTCCATCCTGTTCGTCGTTAAGGAAATGTACTTCTTGCATTGTGTTCTGTAGGGGGTTGACATCTTGTATCACATGTCCTGTTCAATGGCCTTCTTCAATGTTCCATTTTTTCTGGAGATAGTGTAGAGTCTCAGCGCAACATCCTTTGGGCGCAAACCATGCAAGCTAGATAGTTGTGCCCACTCAAAGTTTTTGGTGACAAATGAGTTGCCTACAATTGGAAATTGTTAACCTCATTTCAAGGTGTTACATGAGGAGAAATTGAAGTCCCACAAAACATGGTAAACCCTATTTAACACAAATAAAGACATATTTCAAAAGGAAGGAATTCAACACACATTTGCAAGAACTTGTTAATTGACTTCATGACATGTGTGTACATATGTGTGTGTCATATTTTGGCATGCATGGCTTCTAAATTGCAAGTATACATAAATTGTTTTTTAAAAAGGAAAAAGTTCATTTACTCCCCCGAACTATTTCACCGGAATGCTAAACTATTTTGCTTATTTTACACCTCCGAATTATTGAAAATGGTTCAGTTTACGCCCAACACTATTTCTCCTTTTCATTCTCTTTATATAACTCATATTTTCACTGAAAGTTTGATATGATGATATATGCATTACAATTTACATCTCAACATTTTTTTGTAGATTTTTTCTCACTGTTTACGTAGGCTGGAACACATCTAAAACCAATCGAAACATCAATATTATAAAGTTCAAGCAAATATTTATGAAAAAAATTAAAAATATTTTTGAATTTAGATATGAATTCATCTATGGCTCCAAAATTTTCAGCTTAGAATACAACTTGTATAAAATGTAACATAAAAGAGAGAAATATTAGAGTAAAGTGAACCTTTTTCAATAGTTTAAAGTGCAAAATGTGAAAAAAAAAAGTTTAAGGGGTTAAGTGATCCAATGGATTAGTTTGGGGGAGTAAATGGACTTCTTTTTTCTTTTCATAATGGGCCATCATTGAGGCCCATCCAAACAAGGCCTTAACGGATAGGATTTATTTTAAGTGTAAATATAACTGAAACTGGACCTTGTGTACATGTGTTGATTATGTACTCTCTGATTAATTACTTAGTAATTGAGCACTACTTTATGTTAAACAGCAAACATGATAGATATGAAGAATATCGGAGTGGAAACACCAACCTTGGAGGAATGGAGACGTTGAACTTGCTGTTACGTACTGCTCATGTTATTACAGGAAACTTGCTACATATATACGCAAGACCACCACCTTCCTGGATGCATCATCAGCAACAGCGACTGGACCTCCATATTGTTACTTGTTTAAATTACCTCCATATGCGTCATTATAATTATATATATATGAACCTTGTATAACTGTGTTTAATGTGGTGAGTACTAAATGTGGTTATATATATATATATATATATAAAATAAGTGATTCCCTCGCTACTATTAAAACCATTTTTCGTTGCGGCCATTTTAGGTTTTCGCTGGCGAAATTTGGAGCCACCACAAAGCAAAGCGATAATTCATTTTCGCTGGCAGTCGTCTTAAGCCAGCCGCTAGCAAAAATGGATCTTTGCTCGCGGTTGTCTTACACCAGCCACGAGCAAAAATTCATTTTCGCTGGCGGCTGTGTTAAATCGGCCGCCAGCGAAAATCTATTTTGGGCCAAAAAAATATGCATGCAGCTGCCCAGCCGCTAGTGAAGATTTGGAGAAAAGCCTATTAATTCATTTTCAAAATTCAAATCCAATTCATATGCATATGGCTGCTCATTTCCAAATTCAAACACAAAATACAAAATCATCATTAGCACAGATCAAACATCATGTAAACAGATCAAACATCACAACATGCACTAAACATCTGCATCATCTGGATAATCTGGAAACATACCAAAAAAAAATCCTAGTCGAGCTCGTCAGATCCGTGCTGCCGCCGGTCTCTCTTCGTCACCACCTCACCGCTGCCGGTGGGGAGGGAGGAGGCGCCGGATCCACTCCCCGCCTCCCCCTCCCCCGCACTGCTGACGATGAGAGCCGCTGCCACCGCCGCCCCCTTCCCCGCGCTGCTGCCAAGGTCTCGTCGGCAGATCCGGCCTCCCCAGTCGCCGGGGCAGCAGATCTAGCCTCCCCAGTCGTCGCGGCGGCGGATCCGGCCACCCGCGTTGTCGTGGCGACGGCTCCGGCCTCCCCCGTCGACATGGCTGCGGATCTGGCCACCCCCATCATCACAGCGGCGGATCCGGCCACCCCCGTCGTCACGGCAGCGGATCCGGCCTTCCCCGTCGACGCGGCGGACGGATCCAGCTCCAAGCTCGCGGAGAAGAGGCGACGGCAGCCCGCGGCGGCGGTGGTGACGGCGATGGAGGACGGAGAGGGAGAAGGAGAGAACGCGGGGGAGGAGAGGAGGAGACTAAGGTGGAGGTGGTAGGTGGCTAGGTGCGGTAGGTTTATATATTTGCCTCAAAAAAAATTTTTCCAGCGGTCCCCTTTACCTACCGCCAGCGAAAACGCGATTTTTGATAGCGGACACTTAAGAGGACTGCCTCAAAAAATAGAGTTATTTTTTATGGCGGACCTCTTAGCATGGCCGCCAACGAAAATCGGTTTTCGCTGGCGGTTTGTAACCCCCCTCCTCTCGTTATATTTTTGCTGACGGTTCTTACGTATGGCCGCCAGCGAAAATTATAGGATAACGCTATGCAAAATCGTTTTTCAAGTAGTGCCTTTCTCATCCCCGCACCCACCCAAGACCATGGCCTTGGCCTCGAAGCCCCGCGGGACGAAAACTTCACCTGCCCCTGCCCCCTAGGGGTGGGTTCTGGCCCCACGGTCTGCGGAGGAAATTGCTACCTATAAGAACAATTGTTATATTCATACTAGTGATAAATTCTCCTCACTAATGACCGGTTTGTTTCTGTGAAAATATTTCTTCACAATGGAGATATGGGGCAGGGAAAAAAAATCTGATTTTATTATGGTGAAATGTCATCCAAATGTGACAATTTCTTTTTTCTGAAATGAAAATTAACCGGCTACCCAGTAGCAACACTGCCGCCTGCGTACTGCCAGTTTAACTGGCAATGATGCCTTTTCCAACGGTGATGAGGTTTTATGTACTATTGCATATTCCTCTCATTCCCCTCGTGTTATAAATATTTAACGCAATTGATTGTCACCAATTGTGTTATTATGTTTTTATAAATATCATTTGTTTTCTTATGACTTGGTTTGTGTTAGTGTTAATGGTACTTTAAACATCCCCGCAAAAAAAATGGTACTTTAAACATGACTTATATTTTTTATAATCACACTAAATATATAAACTTATTAAAGTAATAGAAAAAACCCTCCACGTTTCTCTCACCCAGCCTAAAAATTGTCATATTAATCGAAGAAAAAAATAGAGTTCACATAGAAATATAATTTAAAAATAGCTGAAATTCAAAATTAAAAGTAAGGTATATTGGAAGAGAAGACTAGAGTCCATACTAGCATATAATTTAAAACTAATTGAAATTCTCAAATAAAAAATAAGGAAAATGAAAGCACAGGTCAGAGTCCATATAAAAGTATAATTTATAATTAAAATTTGGAATTAGAATATCTCTACTATTATAAAAATTGAAGATGTTTCCACGATCCGTCATCCTTGTTTGAGTCGGTTATAATAATTGAAGATGTTTTCGCGGTTCGTCATCCGTGTTTGAGTTGGTTTTAATTTTATGTTTTGGTTTAATCTATATCTCTTCTCTACTAAAAATTGAAGATGTTTTTGCCGGTATTTTGGTACGTCATCCGTGTATGAGTCGATTTTTAAATTTGTTTGCTTTTGAAAATACATATCCGTAATTGAGTCGGTTTTTAAGATCGTTCACTTTTGATAATACAAAAGGAATCACATAAGAAATCTGTTTAAGAAAACTCACATGCTAACTTGAGACGATCGGACTCCTAACTGCAGCTCATGATTTTCTATATATATATATATATATATATATATATATATATATATATATATATATATATATATATATATATATATATATATCCTGGCGAACTTCCACAGTGAATTTCATCTTAACTAAACCATATAATAATAATAAGATTAAAATAGACTTCACCCGTTGTAACGTATGGGCATTTTTTCTAGTTAAAAAAATTTTAGAGTCCGTACAGATAGTCTAGAGTCCATATAGGAATAAAGAATTAATTGAAATTCAGAATAAAAATAATAAAATTAAAAGTGGAGTTTAGAGTCTACATATAAATACAATTTAGAAATAACTCAAATTCGGAATAACAAAAAATGAATATTGAAAGATGAGTTTGAGTCCATATAGAAATACAACTAGAATTGATTGAAATTCGAATTAAAATAGAAATATTTAAAGAAGAGTCTAGATCAGTCGATATAAAAGTACAATTTAGAAATAACTAAAATTCATAATTTAAAAATAAAAAATATTGAAAGGAGGGTTTAATTACATCGTTGTTCCATTTTTATCATCACTTCGATGGTGTTTGAATCTTCTGAAGATGAAGATGAATATTAAGTGTTTCACGTAAAACGAGGTGGTAATAATATATGATTAATTGAGTTTTAATTATTACAAACTTAAAAAATGGATTAATCTGATATTTTAGAACAACTTTTATATAGAAAGTTTTCGCACGAAACACACCGTTTAGCAGTTTGAAAAGCATGCCACGAGAATCTAAAAGTTTATCCAACTTTTGTTGGAGAAAAGAACCGGACCGAAGATGCTAAAACAGCCAACGTACAAACTAAAACATAAACACCTAACCAACCAACCCAGTACTAGCATGCTCTTCAGTACCACTACTATTTCTTCCAATGGCCACTAGAGCAATCACCATCTGCTTTACTTCATCATCTTTCCTCATAGCTACAGCTTTATCCAATTTTGCTGCAATCTTCAAACCTGCACCTTCACATCTACAGCCTCATCTCTATCAATCAAGTTATTATTCTTCAAATAATTCATATATCCTTCTTCCCATTACCAGAAGTTATACCTAGATCCATCTTTCTACACCATTAAAAACCAATGTCAGCTCAGACCGAACTCAACACCACACCAAACACAATCAATTATTACTCATAACTCATCTCATGCTCAGGACAAGCGTAGATAATACGGTTCAGGTTAGCGATGGTCCCCGATATGTGCTTCCCGACAATTTTCTTCTCGCATAAGGGCACAAGATTAACGGTACCCTCTTTCGACGACTACAGGAGGAGGCCTAGCTAAAAGAAGCCATGGGACTGCGACCTGCACTTGGTTGCTGGTTGTCTCCCACCGTGCCCTCGCCACCACACTTTGGCTGCCTCCCGCCATGGGCCTCGCCGGCTACCGTCCTAACCCTAGCCAATTTGGTGATTTTGGGGATTTGGCCAGCTACAATGGCATGGATGGGGAATATGTAATATTTCAAAACACGGTGATGTGGAGGTAGCCGTGCTCAAAAATGATACCTACTTAGCGCGCCACGTTAGCGGTTAGACGCGGTCAAGAGCCGATTAGACTGACGGTGGTACATTAAGCCAAGTTTATAGACCTAAACGTGTATTTTTAAGTTTACGGCTCTAAGTGATACCACCCTATAACTTTTAAGGACCGGCAATATGTACTTTACTCCAAATCAATTAACCAATTCGTTATTTGACAAAGGATACCGACCAACAGTTGAGTAAACTACCAGTGGCTGCTTCCTTTGACGAGCTGGATGCCCCAGCTCACATCCTCGCAGCGCCGGATGTACGGCACCGCCTTGCCTATGTCCTCGTAGTTCCTCCTCGCCGCGCAGTCGTAGTACGACGGCGAGTGGAAGCACGGCTCCGGCGACGCCGCCCGCACGCACGGCGGCTCCGGCACCTCCGTCGCGGGCTCCTTATCCCACACAGGCCGCCTCGGCATGAGCCACGGCCGCTCCCCGGCGAGCCCCTGCGCGTCGTAGCCAAAGGTGGAGAAGCCGGTGGTGAGCAGCGCGTCTCAGGTGCTGAGCAGGTACATCTCGCTCAGCGCCCTCATGTCGTGCGCCGTGTCGCCCATCCGCTGCCACCCCTCGTGGCTCGGCTGGTGCACGCCGCCGCCGCCGCCGAGCTCGTCGCGGATCCTGTCCGAGTACCACGAGTTCAGCGACGTCACGAGCACGGCCTGGTCCGACGACGACGTGTTCGTCGTCGTCCCTGCGGTTGGGAACGGGATGAGCTTCTCCCTGCGTGCGCAGGAGAGGACCTGGTCGAGCACCACCTGCGACACCGGCGGCGTCTCCTCGTGGTACACGCGAATCTGTATGCCGACGAGGTGGCCGGCGCCGGCGAGGTGGTCGCGGTGGTAGGCCGTGATGGCGTGCCAGACGGCGTTGGCCGGGTGGAGGAGGTAGCGGCTGAGGTGGTGGAACACGGCGTCCTTCTCCGGGAACATC